CTCTCATTATGTGTGGCTGCCTGCCCGTTTTTCCCTTGCTTTCAGAAAGCTGGTTTTAATAGCCTTTTATTTTTAGAGAGCAGAATTATAAGCTAAGGACATCTTTTTAAAATGTTACTACCATCAAACCTCCCATAAAAAAGTTTTGCCTTCTGGAAATAGAATTTTTAAATGCTTATGTAAACAAACTCCAGAAATCATCTATTATGACCTCAATTGATAAGATTATAAGGAAGGAGAGCTTGGAGGCCCCAGAACTTGAGACTGTATCCAGTATTCCAGCAAGATTCAAGTTAAGAGATGTGCTGATGTTACCATGGCCAGAACTCTCAAGTGATGGCAAAGGAGACTGCTTATTTAACCTGGGTCTTACCAGCAAGGAGGGAAGAAAGAAGATGGAAATGGATGGATGGATGGATGGATGGATGGATGGATGGATGGATGGATGGGTAGGTGGTTCAGTGGGTGGATGGGTGGATGGGTGGATGAGTAGATGAAGATAAGAGGCTACTGTTTAGGCTATCAGTGGTCTTGGCCATAAGCAGAATCTTCTTGTTAACTTATAAGTCACCAGTCACCAGTGTAGAGTGACTGGTGTCCAGCTTCCCACAGAACACTCCTGCAGCAGCTTTTGAAAGAAAGCATAAAAATAGATCATTTGGAAGAATGCCAGTGACCCCTTCTCACCCTCATCCTGGTACAGGAAATGGAGGAAGTGGAGGCAGAGAGGAGAAGAGTGCAGGCATTCCTGAGATCCCAAGAGGCTGGGCATATGCCCCCCAGTTCCCGCCTGGCCTGGAAGGGATTCTAGGCAGAGGTTTCTGCACCCTGAAACCACAGGGCACCAAGGACACACACAGGCTTGGAGGAGAACCCAGAAAGTGTGGTCATCTTCAAATTCCAAACACGGTATTATCCCCTCCAGCCCTTGCTGTGCATGTGAGCAGCAGCAGCAGAAAATGCGAGTGTGTGGATAATAAACAAAAGCAATGCTGTCAAGATTCCCAGCAGCTAAATGGTTTCTGGGCAGGCAGGACCCCATTAGACCTCTCCTTGCCATGGAAACTCACTTTAACAGAAGGCGGCTTCATGACTCAGAAGGCAGAGTTTGGAAGGACTGGGGCTGCCCTGTAGACCCTCTGAGTGGTTGCTTTAAAACCTGCTGCCCCTTCTGTGATGTCCCTAGGTCCCTTTCTCTGAAGGACAAGGCTGCTCACCATCCTGGCTGGTGACATTTCACCAGTAGTGTTACTGTGAGCCTCATGTTGAAGTTAAAGAACAGTGGCCATTATTCCAAATCTGCTCTTCTCATGAGAGGAATTTCTAGAAACCCATGAAGAAGGGTCTGAAGACTTCGGCTTGACTGGAGCCTGTGTCAGTTCCTTGAGTAAGATTTCAGCATACTCCCAAGTTCTGTGGGATTTCTATCCCATGCACTGCACTGTCAGCAAGGACAGTACACAGGAGAGCTTGGGAAGGTGGCTCCAAAGGAAGCCTCTTAAGGTGGCAGCTCTGTTCCTGCACTGGGTAGGTGTCATGTAAACTGGTACTTCCGCCAATGTCTTCTTGGTATCTGCAGTCTGGTCACCAGAGTTGATCTTCATCCTGCAGACTTAAAAGAGCAGCTAGCATCCACGTTTCTGGGAATGCAAAGGTCCAGATACTGAGTGCATTCGCTGCTGTGACATTATGCTGTTTAGAGGTTGCTTTTTGCTGACATGCATTCCTGAGTGCAGGCAGGGGAAGGGGATCTGCAGAAGACTTCGTTACTGAGTGCCTGGGGGTCCCTGCACTAAGTGCTTAGCATGAACACCCAACCTGGTGCTTAGGCGGCTGTTTCTGTAAACAAAGGGTTAAGTACTGACACAAAGCCTGGGATAAGAGGGAACCACAGTGCCCCCAGAGTTGGTGCTAATGAATGATAAACAAAGCCACTTTCATGGGAAGTGCTGGGCTTGCTGTTTTCTGGGAAAACACGATGATAACAGGAACAAAGTGGGATTTGATTTTCCTCCGCCTGTTCTCATTTGAAGGGAATCTTTGGCGCCATGTAAGCATATTCAATGCTTCTGAATCTTGGCATGGGTTCCCTGGATCCTCAAGGCTCAGGGACTCAGCAAGTAGAGGCAGGGGCAGCGAGGATTGCCCTATTCTGTGTGGGGCCTCTTGGAGCAGCCAGGTCACAGGGGCAGATGCTGAGGACTGCACTCCTCCATCCCCTGCTGGCTCCTGCATTCGATTTTGCTGATGAACAGCTCTAAAGATCCCAAAGATCTGTGCTGCTCCTTGGAACTTGATCCTAGGGATCATCCACACCTCTCTCTACCCTCCAGCCAGACTCAGGCAGAACTTCCACATCATGCTCTGGACTCTAGCTCTAAGATCGAAGCCAGCTGCTCCTCGTCCTCTGTCTGTCTGCCCGTCCATCCATCCATCCGTCCACGCATTCATAAGATACATGACCAGAACCTCCTCTATGTACCATCAGTGAAGGGTGGAGACAGCTCCTCCCAATGGGCAGCAGGCCAGGGGTTGGTGTTCTCCAAGCCTGTTGTATCCACCTAAAGCCCACTGTCTATCTTGGACTTCATCAAATGCCACCTCTGCAATGTTGTGGTTTAAATGTGAATTCTGCGCTGCCTCTCCTACCCCACCCCCAAGTCTGCTGTGTTGTGAACACTTGATCCCAGCTGTTTTCACTGTTCTGGAAGGTTATGGAAGCTCTAGGGGGTAGAGTCTCACTAGAGGAAGTGGTTCACTAGGGGCAGGCCTTGAGGTTTTACAGATCAGCTGGGTTTCCTGTACATGCTTTGTTTCCTAAGTGTAGACACATCAGCTGCCTCATTCTCCTGCATCCGTGCATGCTCTGTTTCCTGAGTGTAGACACATCAGCTGTCTCATTCTCCTGCATCCATGCATGCTGCACCATGGTAGGCTGTATTCCCTCAAACTCTCAGCAAAAATGAACTGTTGCTCCCTTAACAGCAATAAGCAGAGTAAGTGATAAACTTTATAAGGCATCTAGGCACTCTCTAGACAGAAGGGAGTCCTCCAGAGGTCCCTCTGGAAGCCAGACTGCACCTCCCTTCTGGCCTCATTCTCAGACAGATGCTCGCCTCCCAAAGGCAGGGCCATGCTGGTGTGACTACCATGTTCTGGTTTCCTTCTTTCCTAGGTTCTAGATGGAAAATAAATGCAGATGGATGTGTGAATGAGGCTAAGTTATCACTTGGAAGACAGTGAAGGGAGGGATGGTTTAAACAGTGTATTTGTTCTTTCTGCAGAGTTGCCACTGAAAGTTTGAAGGATGGATTTGGAAGACCATACAATTAGTTAATTAGCACACCAAGCATTTACTTTGAAATATTTATTGGCATGGGGATAAGAAGACTATACCTGTCCCAAGGATGTACAGATAAATCCCAGAAGACATGGGCATTCACCCTGTGATTTACTCAGATATCACATCAATATTGGGTTTTCCTATACTGAGAATTTTAATGAGCTGAAAAAATACAACACAAAAATTGGTGTCCCATCATGGCCCCCGATGAACAAGGCAAAGCATTTTTGCCATACTAGCTAGCAGTGAGCCCTTTTAATATGTCCTCTTTTGGTATCCATGGTAATTTTCTTATAACTTGAGGTTTGACTTCTCTGGTATTTTGGTAAGTTCTCAGTAAATGTCTTTTCCAGCGTGGATTCTGCTTCATGCAGTGCCCACTCCGTGTAGGTTTGACGTGGTAGTAACTTTCATCCTGGCACTGGTCTCTCTGGCTGAGTTTGTATTTCTGTCTGTGCTCCAGTGTCTTCCTTGCATGCTTCCTCCTCACCCCAAGTTTGCCCTCTCCTCTGCTGAATCCAATCCACTGCTGAAGTCCTTAAGCCCATGCTTGTTTGTTCTGCTTCTTATTCCTGGAGTTTCCATTTGATTATCCTTAGGGACTCAGGTGCTTTGGTGAAATCTCTATTTTTCTGTTTCTTTGTAGTCTGTATGTTTTAATTCCAGTTTTTGAACCAGCTATGTTTTTGTTGTTGTTGTTGTTGGTGGTGGTGGTGGTGGTGGGATTTTGTCTCATTTTGTTTGGGGAGGGTAGTGATTTTTTTTTCTTTTCACTTGTCATGTTTCCTGGCAACATTTTAATTTTGTATCAAAATTAAAATGAGATGGGGTGGGAGGCAGGTTTGGGACGGTGGGTATTCCTCAGACAAGATCCAGATTTAAAGTGGGGCTGCATGAAAGCCATCCAGTGTCTGGTGCCTTGGAGCATAGGGCATTGGGACCTTTAGTTATTGGCTAGGGTCATGCTTCTTGAGTATTTCCCACACATAGGTTTTTCTTACCACCCAGAAGAAACTGCCCCAGTCCTGTTTAGCTCCAAGGAGCCACTTGTAACTGGGTAGTTGGTGCCAAGCCCAGAGGCTTAGGACTCAGGTATACCTGACAAGTTCCAAGTCCTCTTTCTGTGTGACTTTGGCCTTCTTGATCCCAGATGCCTTGGTAATTCTGAACCTGCATCTTCAACCTCCCAAGAATAGCATGTAGTAGATCAGATCCGTGCCCCATGGTCCCTGGGCATGCAGCCCCAGAGTCACTAATATGGGAGGGTGGGGAATGGAAGGAAAGGTAAGCATGTCAGATGATAGCTCTGCAGTGCCTGCACTCAAGGGAAGAGAGCATCTCTGTGAAAAAGGGTCCTTTTAGTTTATTGGGTAGGCTGTACATACATCTGTCCCTCATACATGAGCCGCCAGCTCAGGATGGATGTTGCACATGGAGACACAGTTTTCTCTTTTGGTAGCAGTGATGGGTGACAATCTACACATAGTAGCACAAAGTCACCCCCTACAGCCACCTGTGTTACTGCTGTCGTGGTTCATCGTGACCATGAGCAACCGAAAGCTTTAAAAATTAACTCATTTTGTTATGAACACAGGAAAGGGCTGAGATTGTGACATTATGGATCACGTAATCTCTGCTTTCTGTTTCCTTGCTCCAGAACCACGAGGCTGCCCAGAGATTATCAGCCACACTGTGGGGATGTCAGAGAGCCCCATTGGACCCAAACCCACCATGCTTCGGGCTGATATGCCTGCAACACCCAACTTTCAGCAGATGTTTGCATCCTCCTGCACAGTTTCAAGCAATGGACCTGGCCAGAGGAGAGAGAGGTAGGAGGAAGGGATTTAACCTTGTTAGAAGTTCCCCTTGACATCAGAGCACCCAGCTGGGAGGAGAAAGAAAAGACTGGGTAGAGCAGGGCCCAACAGTGAGACCCCACTCAGGTCTCTCAGGCTGCTCAGGTAAGGTGGAGAAGAGTCCGTACCCAGGATGCTGTGCCACACATCGCTGCTCATGGAACTTGCTCTTGTGCACAGGCACCGGCAAATACATGAGCACCTAGGAAAATGTTGCAAAGATGGAAAGGAAGAAAGGGACTGTGGCAGACCAAACTGTCCTCTTTTGTTTTCAAAAGATGAGGCCTTAAGAAACCCAGGAAGGCCAGCTGCCACTCTGGCCCAAAGTAGAATTCAACTCCCCCATGTCTCTTGTACAGGTTTCCAGTTTTCCCTTCCCATTAAAATATAGGGGGTCGCTAGGCGGTGGTGGTGCACACCTTTAATCCCTGCACTCGGGAGGTAGAGGCAGGTGGAGCTCTGTGAGTTCCAGGACAACCAGGCCTACACCAAAAAAACGTGTCTTGAAAAACCAACAGGAAGGAAGGAAGGAAGGAAGGAAGGAAGGAAGGAAGGAAGGAAGGAAGGAAGGAAGGAAGGAAGGAAGGAAGGAAAGAATTTTTAAAAATTAAAAGTCCTTGACATCATGTGTAGAGTCTGTACCTATTGTTTATCAATTTAAATGTGTGTATGTTACAAGAGGTGTATTTTGAGTGGCTTTCCTAAGTTCCTAAATGTGGTACTTCCCAGTCAAGTTGTCCCTCTGTCTGCAGGAGATAAGTTCTTAGAACTGGTTGATGCCTAAGATCCTAGACTGGACCAAACCCTGCAAACAATATGTTTTTCTCAAGCATCCATACCTATGATAATTTTGACCTTTTCTCAAAGAAAGTAGATTACAGATTCTTGTTGGCATAGCCAATCAGCCAGCATCCTCACTTTGCTCTTTGGGGCTATTTTCATTTTGAATGTTTATATCTTTATTTATTTTTATTGAATTGGATGACTGTTTTGTCTGCATCTCTGTCTGTTTCTCACCTTATGCCTGGTCCCTGTGGAGGTCCAAAGAGGGCATCAGAACCTCTGGAACAAGAGTTACAGGCAGTTGTGAGCCACTGTGTGGGTACTGGGAATCAAACCCTGCTCCTCTGTCAGAGCAGCCAGTGCTCAACCACAGAGCCATCTCTCCAGCCCCTTCGGGGCTATTTTTAAGTAACCTGAGAGTTACTTGACCATGAACACAGTTATACAACATCAGCCAGCCATCTAACTACTGACTAAGAGTGGGCAGCATATACCACATGGATACTCTGAATTAAGGGACAATTCACATCCTGGACAAAAATGATTCCTCATTCTACTCGGAATGATATTTAAGACTTAGCAGTTGTTTATTTCTAGAATTTTCAATTTAACCATTTTAGACCAAGGTCAACCTGTGTCTCCAAAACACCTATAAGGGATGAGAGATGCTACATTTCTTCTGCTGCCCAGCAAGCCTCAGTACCCACTTCCCCAGACCTGTCTTCTCCAAGTCTTGCAGCAGTTGTTGGTTTCGAGGTCATCTTATGTCCCTTACATTCCCTTATGGCTGTATTTTTTTTTTTTTTTTTTTTTTGTGTGTGTGTGTGTTTTTTTTTTTTTTTTTTTGTCTTTTGAATAGCCCGCCTTCTGCAGAACGCCAGTGGGTGGAGAGCAGCCCCAAGTCCACCCTAACCCTACTGGGGAGCACCCACCCTTCTGAAGGTTCTCTCGGCACCCGCGAGTTCTGCAGCTCTGGCAAGGACTCGCCAGGGCTGCCCTGCTTCCAGTCCTCGGAGCTCCAGGCCTCCTTCCACAGCCACGAGCTGTCCATGTCAGAGCCTCAGGATGCTCTGCCCCCTGCGGGCAGTCAAGCCTTCTTAGGCTTCAACACTGCTCAGGGAGCAAGTGGCCTTCCACCTGGCGAGGACCCGAGTGCCCTGCTGGTCAATTCCCACGGCACATCACCGGCTCCTGGAGCCCCTCTGACAACAGCAGGGGCTGCTGACAGTGGCTTCCTGTCCCACAACTTTCTCACGGTGTCACCTGGACTCAGCAGCCACCACAGTCCAGGCCTGCAGAACCAGGGGGTAAGCCTGCCCGGGCAGCCACCCCTCCCTGAGAAGAAGAGAGCCTCAGAGGGTGATCGTTCTTTGGGCTCAGTCTCCCCTTCCTCCAGTGGCTTCTCCAGCCCCCATAGCGGGAGCACCATGAGCATCCCCTTCCCGAACGTCCTTCCAGACTTCTGCAAGCCTTCAGAAGTGGCCTCACCTTTGCCAGGTATGTCCCCGCCTCCGCCCGGTCCCTTAGGAAAGGAGGGTTTGGGGGGTGTCTCCAGGGTTAAGTCACGTGTCCTGCCGGAAATGTTCAGACCCCCTGATGGCTCTTCCCCACATTGCTGGTCTAAAGCCAGGTAGACACAGTGCTTCTGGTAAATCTGATCGGCTTCCTCCCTCATCCATGGTAGACTCATCCAGCAGTAGGAAGTGCGGATGCTGCAATGACTCTGCCTCCACTTTGACTTGAAAGTAAAGATCTCTGGAAGCTGTTTTCTTTCGCCCAACGAAACAATTAATCCGAAACTGAGCTATGAACTGTTTCGAGCATTTGACACCAGCCTTGCCTCTGTGTCCTCTTTTTGGGATGGGAAACATCTATGTTTTGCAGAGCGCCGTGAGGCACTGGGTTGCCCTGCCGTTCCCTCCTTTGAGATGTGTTTCCTTCCCCACTTAGGACCCCCGTGTCTTTCCCTCACACCTAGGCATGAGGCAGCAATACAAATGTTCTGTATTTAAAATTTTGCTTCACAGACAGCCCGAATGATAAGCTCGTGATCGTGAAATTTGTTCAAGACACTTCCAAGTTCTGGTACAAGGCAGATATCTCCAGAGAACAAGGTAGGTGGGGGACCAGGGACCTCTTGCAATGTCGGTCCTATTCAGTCTCTGGGTGCTTCTATCAGGAACTCCCCTGGTACAGATCAAATTAGAGCAAAACACACCTTTATCATAGGTTTGGGGAAAATTTCACAACTTTCATCTTGTCATGGGAAGATCTCAGGACTGGTGAGGGTTTGGTGAGAAGTGCATTCAAGCCATGTGCATCCCAGTGTGCGGAGTGTGAACACTGGCTGTTTCGCCAAGCCAGCAGCTCACCAGCCATGCCAGCCCACCATGGGCTTTGAGGAAGAGACACTCTGCTCAGGTCTCTACTAAGGCCTCCTCCGAGTGTTGCAGAAAGAGGGTCATGGAGGAGAGAGATGCACTGGGGGGAGACGTCAGCTTGGTGGCTACAGGCCATGAAAGGAAATGGACCGTTTGGAGCTCTAGCTATCACAGACTTCCTGTCACGTGCATGAACCTGCCTGGTTGCCGCGGTGCAGAAGGAGCTCATGGGCCCTCCATCTCTCAGAAAGGCTAGTTTTCTCCCTGAGATCCTGCCGTTCGATTTTAGAGATAATAGAAACTATGAGGCTCTAATTCTTTCTGAGAACTCACGGAAGCTGATGTCGTTTTGAATGGAAAAGAAGTGGGGGAAACAACCGTGGCCTGGAAAGACTTTTATTTCCCCAGGCGGCCTTTGTAAAAGCCGCCTAGCAAGTCCAAGGGCTGAGCAGAGCTGTCATGTGCTGCCAGTGTCCCCATGTCCTCCCGCCTCTGTCTCCCTGCTTAGCAGCACAGATGAAAAGATGGCATTTTCCTTACTCCATGTTCATCCGCCAAGCAGGGCCCCCACCGGCCCTGGTTGCAGAAGCTGGGAGAAGGGACTGCCTTAGTCCATCTCCTGAGACTGTCACCGAGCCCCTGAGATTGGGATGTCTTATAACGAATAGTCCTGCCGGGCAGTGGTGGCACATGCCTTTAATCCCAGCACTTGGGAGGCAGAGGCAGGCAGATCTCTGTGAGTTCGCGGCCAGCCTTGTCTACAGAGTGAGTTCCAGGACAGGCGCAAAGCTACACAGAGAAACCCTGTCTCGGAAAAAAAAAAAAAAAAAGGAATAGTCCTAGGGGTAGGGCACTCCAAGCGTATCAGCACCAGTTTCACACTGATGAAAAGACAGGAGCAAGTACGCATGTGCAGGAGAGAGAGAGAGAGAGAGAGAGAGAGAGAGAGAGAGAGAGAGAGAGAGGCCATGCATGGCCACCTTGCTTTGTCACAGTCCACCTTCAAGCTGCTGAGCCATCCCCGGGACCATCGCCCAACCCCAAGAGAGCAGTTGTATTGAGCATCGGGGCTCAGACTCAAGTGTGACTTTCAGAGGCGGGGCCGTCTTCAAAGCACAGCAGGAGCCACCTAAGGGTCTGGGTGGGCAGTGGCCTTTGTCCCCTGCGGTCAGTCATCCATGCCTTTCCCCTCCTCTAGCCATTGCCATGTTGAAGGACAAAGCTCCCGGGTCATTCATCGTGAGGGACAGTCACTCCTTCCGAGGGGCCTACGGCCTGGCCATGAAGGTGGCCACACCCCCTCCGTCTGTCTTGCACCTGAACAAGAAAGGTAAGGTTCCCTGGAATGGGTGCGGAGTGTGTGTGGTTGGTGTTGAGGGAAATACAGTGACTGATAATGGCAGCTGCTTGGACGGGTTCTCTTTAGTGTTTGCTTTATAAGGTTATCTCCTTAAGTGGTTGTCTTGCTTAAGAACATATTTTATTTATTCATTCTATCTTCTTTTGTTTTAAGCAAGTAATCTTTTCCATAATATAGTAGAGCCAAGAACCCAAGAAAGCACCCCGTTCCCATGTCAGCCCTTTCTCCTTTGGGTGGCCTCATGTAAGACATCACTGCTTGATTCATCACTGACAGGCAGTCATCTCCAAAACAATCATTTTGTCTATTTCTAACTTGTAATGTGAAAACTAATATAGTATATAGTCTTACATGTCTTGTTTTGAGTCAAAAGTCTAAGATTCACTGAATTCTAAATGATAGCTCTTGTTCTCTTTCATAGCTCTCTGTTTTGTTTCACAAATATATTGGAACATATTTTCCATTGTCGGTGGACGTTTTCATAGTTTGCTCATCCACCCCCTTTGCCCTTATATATAACCATCTTTACCATGTTATCACCAACTCTAGCAAGGAAAAAGTCACTTTTGTCTTCTCTTTACCACCAAAATGGTCATTTTGAACTTGAGCCGGGGAGGTAAAGAACAGCTCAGGTCATGAGGAGTGTGTGGTAGTCGCCCTGTGATAAGACGCCAGAGGTAATTATCTTATCATGAGATAAGGCTCACTGTGGCCTGCAGTTTTAGATGGTTCAGCTCATTTGGTTGGCTCTGGTACCAGGCCTCTGCTGAATCATCCTAATAGCATGATTGTACGTAAGGGAACACATGTTCACCCTCTGCCTACAAAGTGAAAGGGAGAGAGAGAGCTGAGGAGGAAGCTAGGTTTCCACCACCTCCCTCAAGGGCATTGCCCTCAGTGACCCTAAGACTGCCCCCCCACCTTCTCATGTTTCCACTGACCACCAGAATGTCTCTCTGGGAGCTGAACCTTTGCTACATGGATCTATGGGAGGAGACATTGCATTAGCAGGGGAGAGGAATCAGAAAAATCCCAGATGTGGGGCCTCCTGTACATACCTCTCTTTCCCACTCCATACCTGGATCTGAGAAGATTTGTCCGAATTCTTGCATGAAGTCTGTGCTGAAAGCTTTCTGGGGCCAACAGCTTTGAGCTGCACCAAGAATATAAGATGTGTTGCAGATGGGCCATCCTCAGGCATGGGTAGCTGACCTGCTTCCTAGAATGTGCTTGTCTTGCAAGGCTAGGGAATGAGTTTGGGAGGTACCTGGGGCTCAGTCAGAAAGCACAGCCCTCAAACCTGTGGGTGCTGGCAGGGCTTCTGGTGAGGGAGCAGGATAAGTGAGGTCATGCATGCGTGGCCTCCCAGAACATCTAGAATTTCCATCATAAGAAGCTCAATGGAACGCTACTGCTGGGTGGGAGCATGGGCCCTCATCACTGAGCCCTCACTCAGATCTGGCTGCTGAGGACTGCCAGGTCTTACTTGGGAGCACTGGTTAAGGACACATCAGGAAAAGTCTTATAAAATCTGGGAGCATATCCTGCCTTGGGCAGACTTTATACTCAGTGTGAGGATGAAGGAACAAAATTGAGTCTTATGTGAGTAGCAGATGTCAGGAAACCTGGCATGGTGGTCTCCACTGGATGAATGCAGTCTCGCCTCTGTGTGTACACCCAGGTCTGGATTTGACATTTGTGCTTTGTAGTCCAGGAGTAGATTTGAGAGAAGAGTTTGCCAAATGAGGGAAGAGCCAGTAAGTCACTCCGCCACCTCCAGTCATCCTGAGATGAGATGACTGGTCATTCTAGACTCTGCATTCCAAAAAGGTCTTGGCAGCAGGATCTGCATGGGGCCGTTTCCCACAAGTAGAATCCAGACCTTCAGTGGGTTTTCCCATTAGGCTGGAAGTCCTGCACCTTCTCCTCCCACAGAGGAAGGGCCGTGTGTTCATCCCCTCCATTTTATCACACATAGACTTTCATGGAATCCCATCATTCCCTTCTGCAAGCTTGACTGCCCCTAGAAAATGCTGACACGTACTGTTACTAATGGGTGTTACTGTTTATAAACATCATTTGGGGCCTAAATCCAGCTCAGTATCCCTCATCATAAATGACCCCAAACAGATGTGTCTGGGGGTTCTGATTATTTTCAGATTTCAACGGGTTTGTATGTGCATAATGAGATGCTTTGGAAATGAGTCCTTAAATTTTTGATTACTTTATTATTTTATTTGTATGGTGTTTTTCCTGTCTGTCTGTCTGTATATTATGTACATTTCTGGTGCCCATGGAGGCCAGAAGAGGGTATCTGATACCCTCAAACTGGAGTTAGACAGTTGTGTGCTGCCATGTGGATGCTGAGAATGGAACCTGGGAGACCCAAGCCTTCACATTAAATTCATTTACATCTTGTATAGAATTCATACACACTTCATTACATATTGACAGAAATGTGATGCAATATTTTCTATTAGTTTGTATAGGAATCGAAGTTTCATGATATGGAGTCTTCCACTTATGACTGCACACTGGTGCTCAAAATTTTCCAGGTTTTGGATTTGGGACTAGGGTTGTTCAGCCTACATAACAGACTAGAGTCTGGCAACCCCTCCAAGCACAAATCCAGCAGGTCTTGCTCCCAGGAAGTTTCAGCACCAGTAATATTGAGAGGCCAGCTCCTATGGTGGGTGGTCAAGAGCAGTGATAGGAGAGTGGACCCAGCACACGGGATGTCTACTGACTTCAGCAGCCTGGGCCAGGGACTTCTTTTTCTCCGGGTTCAGTTAGTACTTTTCCGTCTTCAGAACATTCTCCATTCAGTGACTGCTCCTGGTGCCTCTTCTCTTTGGGTTCAGCAGCTGGCGTGAACACAAGGTTCTGTTGGCCAGCAGTGTGCCGTGGAATGCTGCTCCTACACAGCAGCATGCTTGTTGCTGAAGGGCCTTTCTCTCCCCGGCTGTCAGCTCCACCTCACCCAGAGGGCTGGCATCCTTCCAGCTCTTTACTGGAGTCTCTTCTGTCCGAGCCTTAGTGGTCTTTTCTCTCTCAGAGGAATGCAGCTAGTGCTCTGAGGCCAGGGTCATTCTCAACTGCCAAGCCATCCCTTCTCTGGGGGATGACACTTGTAGTGTCGGAGGATGTGTGTGTGTGGGGGGGGGGGGATTTTCTTAGTCTCCACATTTTCACTTCAAGAGGTTTTACCATCCACCTGGCTTTTATCACTGCTCACCATCCCAAGGGTGGTTCTAGGCAGCCCCATAGTGCTGCAGTTTAGTCCTGTTCAGAGGGAGCCTTCTTAGGTGTAGCCTTACCTTTATATCTGCAGGAGGCATCTTTTTTTAAGTCTCTGTCTGTCTGTCTTGTCTGTCCATCCCTCCACCATCTATCCATCTCTGTCTCTCCTCTCTCTCTTCCTAGCCTTTCCCCCTACTCTGAGTCTCCTGTGCTTTCAATTTTAAAAATTATTTCTTCTTCTTTTCCTTCTGCAGCTGGAGATTTGTCTAATGAACTTGTCCGGCATTTCTTGATTGAGTGTACCCCAAAGGGAGTGCGGTTGAAAGGGTGCTCGAATGAACCGTATTTTGGTGAGTTATTTGAGAAGCTCTCTTGATACTTTGCAGGGCATGGATTCCCTCCTTCAGGTGGCTTGAAATCCGAGGGCCTCTCCGTCATGGTGGGTTGCTCTCCTCTCAGCCCCCAAATCTCAGGCTGCTGTCATCTGAAGTCTTTAAGATAAGCTGAAAGAGTTAATTGCCTTCAAAAGCTTTGTCAGAACCAAATAAATGGAAAGGACCATCCCAGGGCTAGAATAAGACAAGCCAACATACTGTGAAGTCAGCCAGTGGGTCCCAGCAGGGTTGGAGCCCAGTGTGCCCCCACCCCTCAGGCACAAGGAGGAGCACAGAGCTACCGCCAGAGCCTCCCTCCTCCTCTGTAAGCTGAAAGCCTTTCGTAGCCTCCTGGACAGACTGGGCAGCCTCATATCCTACTCGTTAAGAAGCACGAGGCACTTCGCGCTTATAAAGGCGATGTGCTAGGAATATACTGCAAGTCTCTTGATCAACCACTGTCTTGCAACCTCGACATTTCTGGGAGTTTTGGGTCACATCCCACAGTGGTGTTAAAGGCTTGCCTTTTGGGAGTTTGGTCCCAACCGATGCTCCAACTAAAGACACAGCAGAGGAAGACCTTGAGGATGTTCATTTGCTCTTATCCACTCTGCAGGGAGCCTGACAGCTCTGGTGTGCCAGCATTCCATCACGCCCTTGGCTTTACCCTGCAAGCTGCTCATTCCAGAGAGAGGTATGTGGTGGAGGCCTCCGTGTAGACTGGCTGTGTGTAGAATCTTCTGCACTGTTCATAGCATGCTGCTCCCAGAACCTACAGAGATCCTTAAAAAAAAAAAAAACAGACAAAGATTCTTTAATAACATGTGCTCTACATAAACTCCAAAGCAAGCAGGTAGCCACCTGAATTCAGAAGGGAGAAGGCCCTGCTGCAGACAGCAGCTTCAAGATACTGAACATTAGAAGGTTCCTAGAAAACAAAGACTCTTCAGCTTAAAATTGTAAGACACCTGGGGGCTAGAGAGATGACTCAGTAGTTAAGAGCACTGGCTGCTCTTCCAGGGGATCAGGGTTCAGTTCCCAGCACTCACATCAGTTGGCTCCCAAACATCCACAACTCCCATCCCAGGGGATCTGACCTTTCCTGGCCTCCTTGGGCACCAGGCACTCATGAGGTCCACAGACATACATGAATGTAAAACACATTTTTACATTCATTTACATGAATGTAAAATACATAAATAAGTAGTTAATTTATATACACAAACGCACATATGTGTGTGTATTATATATATATTCTCAGACTGATTTTCAAGATCGCTTGCATGACAGGTTTACAAACTTACAAAATGGGAAATATGCTGCTATGGTTAAATTTAGGTTATGAAGAAACAAGTCTCTTTAATTTTATATTTGTTAGAAAATACCCATAATAATTTTTAAAAATTAATATCTGGGGGATATGGGGCTTGACTGTGTGTTCCAACTTTCCTGTAGGTAAGTGGGTTTGTCTTTAAAATTTTGATCTTTCATGTAAATAAAATCAGAGACCAGGAAAATGTTGTGTGTGGGAGTGGCGGGGGAGGGGGGGCATGTCACTCCCATCTGTGTTCTGGGTGGGATCGCAGTTTTTGTGGACTGGACTATTGTCTGTCAAGAGAGTTACTGCTGCTGTCACTGTCTGGGAATCCTGTCACGAGATTGTCTTTGTCATGTGGACTACTGTGTCAGAAGTCCTTATTTCTCTTTTCTTCCGTCTTCCTGCAGATCCACTGGAGGAGATAGCAGAAAACTCTCCCCAGACAGCGGCCAACTCGGCAGCCGAGCTGCTGAAGCAGGGGGCAGGTCAGTGAGCACAGCCTTCCTTGTTTTCTCGGTCTCTGCACCTCCGAGTCATTGGGCAGAACCGAACTCTGTGATAGAACTTCCCTTTGGACAGTCATTTCCTGCTTTTCTGGGGACTGTGAAGGAAGTTTCCTTTTATAGATGCTTGGCACAGCTGGGTGGGGTGGCAGCTGTGAGGAGACACAGCCAGGGCATAAGAGGCTAGAGCTATGGGTCTGACTCGAACAAGACCAAATTCAGTGGAATAAATGTCAAGCCCTGTATTTAGTGTGGGGGTGGAGGTGGGGGCACAGTAAGGCAGGATGTGGGTGACCTGCCTTGCCAGCTGAAAATGCAAAAATGTTCTGTAGCTGTGACTCAACAGTCACTCAACGTGAGTCAGCTACTGGGCCCTCTCTGCCATCTGTGTGGTGAGACACACCACCCAGAGCCAGGTCTCCGGAGACCAGGCCACTTGGTTGAAACATCTTTATTAATAGCTTTTACTTCCTAGACCCATTCCCGGAAGGTATGAAAGGTCTAGAGATCCCGCAGGAACGCTGGCTCTCCATTCGCAGCATCCCACACCATAGTGTCACAGCGGATGAGCTAGTGCCCTTACACAGCATTAAGTCAAGTCCATAGTTTACTTAGAGTCTTTTTACAATTTACAACTTCTTGAAAATTTACATCATTTCTCTCCCTCCCTTTCCTCCTCCTACTTCTTCCATACCCCCACTCGCTGTCATATTCATGACCCCTACTTCTTTAGTTATTATTATGGTTATACACACACACACACACACACACACACACACACACACACACACAGTGTCCTTTTAGTGTTGCTCACATATACATGTATTTAGACCTGACCATGTAGGATTTAATAACGTATCAGGGCACTCATCCATGAAGAAAACTGCGTCTCCCTCTATCAGCAGCCATTGATTGTCTCTAGTTTAAATTTCACAAGGCTCCACCCAGAGATGTAGAGTTCACTCTTGGTGTTTAACAGGCTTAAGAAATCTCTTTGGCATTCACTCATCAGTATAATGTCGCACAAAGTATTTCCTTTGTCCTGAAATTCTCCTCTGCTCTCCCTACTCATTCATCCCACATTGTTAAGACCCTCACTGCCACTGATCTTTTTATGCGCTCCACGGTTTGGACTTTTCTAGAAGGCCTTATGCTGTAAACACAAGCTATGTAGCATTTTCCGATTGGTCTCTTTCACTTGGTAGTATGATTAAGCTTCTTCCATGGCTTTCCTGGATTGGTGGTTTCTTTCATTGTGTGTAGTGCAGGAGCACATATATGTGTTTGTACAGGTACCTGTGGGTGCCTGAACATGTGTGTGCACATGTGTGTAGAGGCAGAAGTCCATGTTGTGTATCTTCCTCAATGACTCTAGATGTTTTGAAGCAGATTCTCTCACTGAACCCTCATTGATAAGGGTAGGCAAGCTGGCCAACAAGGACCAAGGACCCACCTGTATCTGTCTCCCCAATGCTAAGCTATAGCAGTACATCACTACACCCAGCTTTTATGTGCTTTCTGGGGACCTGCACTCAAATCCTCAGCTTGTAGCTTCCATGACTAGCATTTTTACCAACCGAGGTATCTTCCGAGCCCTGGGTGAACCACAGCTTATTTACCCACAAAACTACTGAAGAATATCTGGTTGCTTCTAAGTTTTGGCAAGCATGAATAAAGCTTCTAAAAATATCCAAATGCAAGTTTTTGGTCAGTATGTTTCCAACTTCTTTGATTAGATACGAAGGAGCCTGATTGCTAGATCGTGTGGCAAGAGTATAGTTAACTTTGAAAGAAACCACAGGACTTTTTTTTTTGTTTTTTTACAAAGTGGCTGTACCATTTTGCATTCCCACCAGCAGTCAGGAAGCATCCCTTTGCTCCACATTCTCACTACAGGTGATGATGTCACTCTGAAGGATGTGCTCATTCTGAAAGATGGAGAGTGGTATCTCACTGTTTAGTTATCTCCCACTCTCCAGCTAGAATGCCATGGTCAAGTCTGAGAAACATCTGTCTCCTCTGTATAATGTGTATTCTTCTAATGCAGTCTGCTCTGTAAAGTTAAATACATCACTGTGACCACTGTACAACCAGAGAAGACTCTCTCATTTTTAATGTGGAGTGTGTTTTAGATTTCCAAAAACATGGCTTACCCATAGCCACAACAAAGGTGACAAGGGACTGGCCCCAAGCTAGGAGTGTGTCACTGTGGTGTCTCTGGGTTCCAGCCTGGCTGCCGTTCTGAGGATTGATGTTTAACATGTATGCAGCTGTACGGACCTTAGGTTTATGTTGTTCAATATGGACTATATTCTTGCTATCCTGACAAGGTAGAGAACAAGTAAGGATTAACATCTAACATGTATGCAGCTGTACAGACCTTAGGTTTATGTTGTTCAATACGGACTATATTCTTCCTATCAAGACAAGGTAGAGAACAAGTGAGTAGACACTGGAAAAGACCTTGGGAATTGTTTTCCTGACCTAAGAGAAAAGCCTTTCCCTGGTTAGCCAGCCTTCCCATTTTTCTTCTGGTTCTTTCTGAGCCTGAGCAGGCTGGCCCTGGGCCACAGCCCATGGTGGCTACAGGAGACAGTGAGTACCATGTGAGAGGTAAACTCGTGGCCCCTAAGTTTGTTTTAGGTGCTCCCTGAAGCCCTCCAGGGTTGACACCCCTGTGCCACACTGATATATACCGATGTATAACATACTGATACTATAACATACTGATGTTAAGACATCAGTATGGCCTTTGGCTGATTTGATTATTTGATTGTACCTCTCAAAAATGTACTTGAAAATTAAAAAAAAAAAAACTGTAATGATTGCTTTTTAAACCACAGCTATGTATCAACTTTATTAAAAAAATAAAAAAGACTGAAGAAAAGGATCAGGGTGACATCCCTGCGTAGGAGAGCTTGCCTCATGGAACAGAGTGGGTGGCAAGGTCTTCTTCCACTCCGGGGATGGAGTTCCTGAGGTACAGACTGTTGGTCAGAGCCCGCTGGGCGTCTCGCCCATACCACCACCTGCATTTGTGTTAGCAACAAAGCTCTGCTTCTCTGTCCCCACGGTGAGTGCCAGAACCAGTGTGCCGCTGCAGCCATCGCTGGTTTAACATCACTCATCGCAAGCAGTTTTTATAGTTTGTTAACTGTATCCATCCAGTAAGTGTTGCCTTCAGTCATGCTAGCGTCCACTATTGTCCTTGTTTTTAGAAGTTAAACCTCCCCCTTCCTTTCCAGCACATTGTTTTAATATCATATTTTATTGAATCTTTGAGAATTTCTTATAATGTATTTTGATCATAGTCACCCCAGCTCCTCCCAGCTCCTCCTCCTGTGTGTCCCCATCCAAACCTCATGTTCTCTTTTTTTTTTTTTTAAACTTACTGAGACCAGTTAGTTCTGCCTGTGTACTCATGGGTATGGGGGCAGCCACGGAAGCATGGTTAACCTCCCAGGAGCCACACTCCCTAAAGAAAACAGACTCTCATGCCCTTTACCAGACACCAGCTGTCCTTGGTTCCTTGGCTAGGGGCTGGGGCTTGTGTGTCTCTTCCAGCTGTGTTGGACTGTTAATTGGCCTGATTGTGTGATACCGTGAGTTCATGGCTCTAGTAGCCATGGTGTATTCAGAAGACATTGCCCCAGTCACCCCTGACCTCTGCCTCTTCCATAATATAATCCCTGAGTCTTTTGTGGAGGGGTGTGTAACAGATGTCCCATGTATGGCTACAGCTCACTATTTTTAAATACATTTTCCCATCTTTTAAAAGAGCACTTCTTATTTTTTTTTTTAGTGGGTAGGTTTTCTAAGCAATAAGACTTCATGTGAAACCTTGTAGTCTGTTTAATTATTTGGGTTGGGCATTAAGATATGAGGCTTAACTTAAGGCTGCTTTGAGATTCTTTCTTTTACTGTAACACACCAGGAGTGTGAATTTTCCGTGCCACTGAGCACTACCAAGGCATGGATTCCGCTCACCAGGTCTGGGGGCGGAGCTTGCACCCTCCGTGTCTGAGGATTACCTGTGGTCATTTAGAATACCTATAACACAAATGTCGTCGGATCGAAAAGGTGGGGCTATTCTGATCTCTGATCACTGCAGTTCCCAACTGAATTCCACTTGTCGTCCTGGTCCTTGGAAACGTCCCCTGTCTTCACAGTAGAAGCCAAGACTCAGGAACACAGCAGTCCCTGCAGGATGGGAAATTTGATACTAATGTCATTATGACTTTGTTCCAATAGCTGGAACAATTTGTTTCTGGCATTTTAAGCCTTCAATTCTTAATTGTTTCTTCTGGAAACTGAGGAGTGTAAGCTAATCCTGAGAAAAGAGGCTCTTTCTCCAGACTTCCGATAGGTCTGTAGATTGTGTGTGGCTGTTGAACTTAATGCCCTCTGAGTATAAATTAATAAAGATTATGTGTTCTTTTAAGTTTTTTTTTTTTTTTTTTAAAGCAGGGCAATGCCCTAAAGAAGCAGGGCATAAATGACTCCTGAGCCTGTTACTTTGTGCAGCCCCGCTTCACACTGGGAAGACGGGGTGGGGGGCCGGAAGTTTCCTAAAGCAGACACTGCTCCGGGCATCAGTCACTTCTGTTCCTGCACTTCCCCCTCCCGGGGCTGTCCTCCGTGCACAATTCCTTCACATTCCTGTTTGCAGTTTGTGTAGTGAGTTTGCTTGTGGTTTGTGCAAACGTAACACAAGTGTCAGTTTCTTGTGGCTGTGTAGCTAGCCCTCCGTTGTGTAATTCAGTTATTCGTGGTCCTCCAGCTTGCCTGACTAGTTTTTCAGTGCCATAAGCCATGCTTGAAGGACCATCTTCCTACTGGCATTTTCCAGACTTCTACATAGTATCTTAAGCTGAAGTCCCAGAAGCGACACTAATGAATTCAGATATGTGGACCTGAAACTGCTTTCAAATGGAAACTTTTCCTGGCATGGGACCTCCCTGCTGCTGGTCTGAAAAACGCTGTCCTGTTCGATGTCCCATGAGGCCCCACAGCTCCAGGTCTCCCCTCACTGGGAGCACTTGGCTCTGCAGGCCACAGGGTGTCTGTTAGAGAGAGCCTGACTCTGTGGGAGCTGGTGCTGGCCCACTGTCATGATCCTAGGGGACCTACCTCCAGAGGTGGTATTTCTCCCAACACCAGGCTTCTTCCTGGTACCACAGTAGGAGCAATCCTTGTCAGGAAGCTCCCTGTGGTGCCTCCAAGACAGCAGTCTAGTCTGTGGTTTCCTGTGAACCACATCTAGGTGTGCCAAGTCTATGGGATTTTCATAGTAGTTAGGTAAAAATGCATGCATGTGCCCCCCCAACACACACACACACACACACACACACACACTCACTCACTCACTCACTCACTCACTCACTCACACTGCCATTTGAAACTGCATAAACAACATGACAGGATCAGAGGTAGAGTATTCACTGAATACTCTATTCCTGAATTATGTTTCCATTTTCCAGGCTTCTTTCCAATGCCTGTTCATAGCACACATGCTTTTGATTTTATAGTTCTAATCATAGCAGAGATGGTTTATTCTGCTTTTCCAATTACCTGCTGACCATTTTTCCATGTTGCTATATAATTTTCATGATTACCATTTGCTGGTGGCTTCATATTTCATTGAGAGAAGGAATTTAACCCTTCCTTCATTCTTGGACATAATCTATTTCCACTTTCTTCCTGCTGTAATTCATATGGGCACAGACATCTTGCTCTGTAGATTAGCTGTAGCACATGCTTCTGGAAGATTTTCTTTTTTAATCTTTGAAGAAGTGGGACTTTGAGGTTATTTCCAGGCTTTTCAGATCCTCCCGACAAACGTGGCTAAATGATCCAGAGTGGCTCAGGTTACCCCAACATTAACGGTACTCATTCCCTCAGAGCTTTGTGAGCTTTATGTCTTGGCCAATTTTAATTTTAAGAATTTTTGACACCTTTCTGTCTTTCCCAAGAGAACACAGGAAAACCCTTAGTTTAGATGGGAACTGATGTGCAAGTAACCGACCAAAGCTTCCAGTTCCCCTTTAGTGATCTCATCTGGGACTGTGAGCCAGGTCTGAACACTGAAGTTGTCTGTGAAGTTTGTTCTAGCAAAGTCACCTTGATCTGATCTTCGAGGGGTGATGACTACCAATGTTCCTTGTCATCTCTGAACTTAATCTCCTTGTCTGCAAACTGGAGGTGATAAACATAGACTGCTCTTTGGGGCTTTTTGGGATTGTTATTAATAAGAGGTACTAGGTTAAGTTCAAGCTAGTGAAAAATTATATTTGTGTTAGTAATTTATGTAGATTTGCTTTAGGAACAGTGGCATTTGGATACTGGGATGCAAATGTAAATAAAGTTTGCAGACCAAAAGTGTCTCGGATGAAACTCTTGTCATTTGTGCGTTTAGAAAGTCTTATGGGTTGGTTCGCAATGCTAGAGCTCGGTAAGTGTTCAACCATGGAGCTGAGCTCATACCTCTAATCCTGGCTAAAAGCAACAAGGGCGACTTGTCTCAAGTCTTTGAGGTTCCTTGTTTCCTCTCAGTATCTGCTCCCTTCTCAGGATAGGACAGATCTTCCTCTCTTGCCTTTCTCTTCTGGGGCCAGCGAAGCTTTGGTCCTGACAGACTGTTAACTTCTGAATGAAGGGAGGGGCTTTCCTTTTGCCTTGTCAGTGTATAAGACCCCATCCATCTCCAAAGGGACTGCAACCCACTGGCTGAGAACCACTGCTCTCGGGGCCTTTAAAGCAGAGTTAGTATATCCCTGTGCCCCCTTCTGCAAAGTGGAGCCAGCGAGGGTAATTCCACTGTTAATCTGTTCTTGTGGTTCTAACATTATACAGGATGGGGGCGTTTATAAAGGAGAGCATTTTGGCTCACGTTTCTGAAGTGTAAGCGTGATATTGTCATCTGCTCGGCTTCTGCTGGTTTGTGCTGCTTGAACTCTGGCAGGAAACAGACTGAGGAGAGAGTGGTGTTAAGGGAGAGCAAGAAAGCAAGCCATGAAGGAAAGCTCAGTGTTGTAGCCATACCTACTCAGGTCTGGTGAAGGCCTCTTAGTGTCCTCATCACCCCTGAGGGCCTCTACAGTGATGAACAGATTGCAGCAGGAGTCTCAGGGGGGACAAACAGGATCATTTTCAGGGAAGGGCCCTTCTCCGTCTCTGCACTGGAGGCTCTGGTTTCCTTCTTGAGCTTCAGGCAGAGCCTAAAGCATGGCCTGTGCTAACAAACCAGCTTCTACACTCTCAAATCTGTGTTAGCCTCTGCTTATAATGCAGGAGTGGGGGCTAAAAGGGACAGTGGGGTACTCAGGGCTGTACCTACACTCGGTCACTTTTCCTCACCCCCTGAGAGGAGCTGACTGCAGAGAACACCCTCATCTGGCAGTGTAGGGAGTTGGGACACATGGGAGGTCAGGTCTAGGCACTAAGCTACTGGGTGCAAGCCATTTCTCCATGGCTCTTCTGCATGCCCTTCCAGCACGTTAGGCAAGGTAGTAATCACCTCATGGATGTTTCTCAGGAATTCCAGTGTCTGTATTTATCACATTTGGGGTATTTGTATTAATATATGTTTACTCTCTCTGAGGCTAGGGAAGATCCTGGATGAACACAGCACTTCTCTCACCAACAGGCCACTCCTTAGTAGCTTGTTATATCCTCTTCTTGGCACTGGAGCCAATGTGTGCTTGGTACTGGAAAGCAGGGAACACGCGCTTGCCAATGCTCCTGGCCTGGGTCACGCATTCAAATTGTTCCTGGTCTTTTCCTCTTCTGGTTGCTCTCTCTCCATGTGCCAGAGCATGTGTGTCCCCAACAGTCCTGGCTAATGCACTTCTCACCCCCTCCCCATTGTCTTGCAGCCTGCAACGTGTGGTACTTGAACTCTGTGGAAATGGAGTCCCTCACGGGTCACCAGGCAGTCCAGAAAGCCCTGAGTATGACCCTGGTTCAAGAGCCGCCTCCAGTGTCCACAGTGGTACACTTCAAGGTGTCAGCCCAGGGCATCACCCTGACTGACAACCAGAGAAAGTAAGTGTGGGGTGGGAGGGGTGTGGAGGTCTGAGGTCAGCAGCGGGTGTCTTTCTCAGTCATTTTCCATTCTTTTCTTTGAGACAGGATTCCTGAGTAAACCTAGGACTCACTGTTTTGGCTAGACTGGCTGGTGAGTGAGCGCCAGGGACATCTGCTCAATGCCATGCCATTCTCTCAGTCCCTCCAGTGCTAGAGTTAGAAACTCACATCCGCATACCCTGGTTTTACATGGGTACTGTGGATTTGAACTCAGGTCCTCAGGCTTGCACTGCAAACGCTACCCGTGAGCCAGCTCTCTACCTTCAAGGCCATTTTCCTTTAAGTATTTATTTTTTTAAGATGCAGAATCTTTTAAGTCATTACTGTAAAACCACTGAGATGCACCAGAATCTACTGGCATCTGTTTTGGTATCATCACTTCCATGAGTGGTGGGCAGCTGGTGTTAGTCAAAGTAGCACAGTGTGGAATCAGGAGCCCTCATGATGAACATGTGGGACATAGCCCAGACCATCCATCCTGAGCCCTCTGTGCACCAGCAGCCTCCCTGCCGTGCCTACCCGCAGTGCCTCCCCTGGGGCCAGTTCTTTAAGTGAGACTCTGTCTTCATCTTCCCAAGGTATCCAATAGTTTGAAGACAGAATCTTCCACCCTCCACTTTAGGATGAAGCAGTTGGGCTGAGAGCAGGACCACAGTGCAGAGTGTGGCTTTGCCGATCAGGGCTTCCCCCACACTTGCAGCAGATGACCCTGAGCAAACTCCTTCACTCTCTGGTGTTTTGTTTTGTTTTGTTTTTCCTTCATTCAAACCTATATGCCACAATACCTACCGCAGAACTGAGGAACTCCAATACAAGTGCAGTGGGCACATATCATGCAAGGTGCTGTTGACATGGGCTCAGCCTTGGGAGAGCCGAGGAGTTGTGTGGTCCTGAGCCGCCACCTGTGTCTTACCACTTGCCCCTCCAGTTCCTCAGAGTTCCTAGATCCATGCCTACCTTCGCTGTGGCTGCCACTGCCACTCTTTTTTTTTTGGGGGGGGG